TTTATTTTCAGATGCCACGAAGGAATATTTTTTACCTGCAGGGTTTAATTTCAGATGCCAGTATTATCATAAAAGACAAACCACTGTACACTCTGTTTTAAAACTTTGAATGAATTGTGCAAGTTGAAATGCTGCAGGTGGTTAGTGGAAAGGAGGAAAATAAGTGTTTAAAGAGTTGTGTTTTTCAATGTTATTTAGCCATTGACGCCTGTTGATTTCACTTCCCGTCTTGCTTTCTTCTAACATCTAAATTCCTCTATAGCTTTTTAAATTCTTTTTTTTTTTTTTTGAATGAGCACAGATATATTTGACACTGGGAAAGAAATAATCATAAGATTCAATATGAAGACTTTAGATTAGATCAAAAGGAAAAATGCCCTCTGGCAAGAGTTGTTAGAATTAATTACTGAGGGAGAGTAGAGCCTGAGGTATTTTTGCTTCTTGCTAGTTGTGTGTAACCTTTGGCTAATTAATCTCTCTAGAGCTTAGTTTTCTCATCTCTACAGTGGGGACAAAAAACAGTAACTAGCCTACAGGTTATTTTGAGAATTACACAAGCAGGTATTTGTGAAGAATATAAACAAGTGCTTGACACATAAGTGCTACTTATTGCTAGTTTTCTTGACTATTATGATGAGTGAACTGGATAAAACAAATTGTGATTTTTAGTGTGGTGGTCAGTCAGTCCTTGGAATCTGTGGTTTTACATTTGCAGCTTTTTCTCTTTCTTTTTTTTGAGTTGGAGTCTTACTCTGTTGCCTAGACTGGAGTACGGTGGCACACTCATGGCCACCCCAACATCGACCTGCTGGGCTCAGGAAATCCTTCCGCCTACAGGCGTGCACTACTATGCCTGGTTAATTTTTTGATTTATTATAGAGATGAGGTCTTGCCAAGTTGCCCAGGCTGGTCTCGAACCCGTGGACTCAGACAGTCCCCTCACCTTGGCCTCCCAAAGTGCTGGGATTACAGGCTTGAGCCACTATACCCAGCCACATTTGCAGCTTTAACCAGCTGTGGGCCAAAAATTTTTGGGGAAAAAGTGGATGACTCTGTTCTGCACTAAGCATGCAGAGACTTTTTTCTTGTCATTATTCCCTAAACAGTACAGTATAAAAACTATTAACATCGCATTTACATTGTATGAAGCGTTGTAAGTAATCTAGAGATGAGTATGTAGGAGGATGTGTATAAGTTATATGCAAACATGACATGATTTTGTATAAGGAACTTGAGCATTGTGGGGTTTTGGTATCTGCGGTGGAGTGGGGGAGGTCCCTGAACCAACCACTTATGGATACCCATGGAGGATTGTACCTCCTGAAGGAGAATTAAAAAGGTGGGTCCTCTAGGTTCACATCGCCCATCTGGCATATCAGTCAAGATCTATTTGTCAGGTTCTGTTTCCTGTCAAACCCTGTGTGGTTGAGATACAAACCCAATTAAGACTGCTCTTGCTCTTGCTCCACGAGGGGTGGATCAACCCTGAAATGCACTTGATGAATCCTTGTCAGTCATTCACTCAAATCCTTGTCAGTCATTTCTCATTTGAGTCTTAACAACAATCCTCTGGGATGGAAGGCATCATTTTAATTTACAGGTGAAGAAAAGGAAGCCTACCCAGAGACAAGGGACTTGTCAAGGTCATAACTAGTCAAGGGCATCATCTGGGTCTAACTATACCTCCCTCTTCCCTCTGCCTTCCCTTCCCCTAAGACATACGTGTGCCTCAGAGTTTGTGTGTAGTGTTTGTTTCTCATGTTTTAGAATGAAACAGCTTCCCTAGAGGGGACTTTTCTCAAATCAACATTCTTTGTTCAAAAGAATTTTGCTTTTCCAGTTTTACTTACTATTCCACACCCTTCAGCTCTGTGGTCTTTCATCTGTTTCAAAAGAGGGCCATTTAGAAAATCGTGTCAGAGTGGTTGCAGAAGAAAACCTAGCATTGACAGTTGAGATCGGCTCCATTAGGTGTTTATTGCCGGCAACTTGCTGAACACAAGCTCCTGAAGCTTGAGAGGGTTGCCTTTGGATAGAATCGGATTTCATTTTTTCATTTAACAGACAATTATCAGGCACCTGCAGGTGACAGGCAATATAGTCTCAGGGAATGCAGGGTGTGTACCTGTCTTCTGGAAATGACCACAGTTGGTGGAGAAAGGGGATGGCTCAGCCAGACCACTGCCCCAGGGGGATTAAGGATGACAACAGAGGGAAGGACGCTGCGAAAGCCACTATTTCATGGACATCTGGTTTTTTTTGGGGGGGGGATGGGGATCTGAAGCCTTTACTAGTTGTGTGCAGTGGGTGGGTTCTACTCTGTTAGGGAGGTTCCATGTAGGTTTTTCTCTCCACCATAGCTAGCATGGCATCTGTGTTAGCAGGTGGGTAGGGATGAGATCTCAAAGTCTTTTGGTTTCTTGACTCCTTTATATTTACATTATTCCCCAGTCAAATACTCAGGTGAACGGTCATGGCTCTCTACCTGCATTGACCTTCTCCTTCTTTTGTTAACACATATGGCCATGGACTAAGGATAGTCCTTCTCTGGGCTATCTGCTTGTTCCTATCCCTTCTCTGCCCATTTAAATTGTTTTCTCCCTTCTCTGGATCTCTATTTTCATAATAAAGGTAGAAGCTATGAAGGCAGTCCATCGAGTGTGTTTAGGTCATCAGCTGTAATTGAGGTACTACAGTCTCATGCAAATGGAGGTTGGGGTCTGTCCCATCTCCTCGCTTTTGTGTGTGTGCGCTTTAGTTTGTTCCAGTGCCTTTTCCAGTCCCCTCTGCCCAGGACACGGGGACCGTTCTGCCATCCTTACTGCACGTGGTCCATCAGTACCTTCATCCGCCCCTCTGTAGCGATCTCCGCAAATCTCAACTGTCACGTTCTTGGAGTTCCTGTGGGTGTTTTAGGTTGGTCTCTCATTCCACTATGCTTTTTGAAGCCATCCTCTGTTCTAGTCTTCTTTGGAAACACAACACATGGTTCATGCTTGGTACATAATAGGTGCTAGCTAAATGGTCCTTTAAGTGTGTTATTTCAGGTCTCAAAATAAGCCTGTGCTATAACGTGTGTGTGTGTGTGTGTGTGTGTGTGTGTGAGAGAGAGAGAGAGAGAGAGAGAGACAACACACACAGAGAGAGATTCCTTATAGTTTTTGTAATTTACTTACTGTCTCAGTTTTGTAAGACTGCAGCATCATCTCTTAGGATAGTTAGCAGGAAATCATAGTCCTGGTGAACTACTTCCAGGATCTGTGAGATAGTTCTCTTCTGTAATTTGCATTCATTTCCAGGGCTAAGAACTCAGCCCTTCCTCTGTGCTCTTACTTTCAGAAAGTATTATGAGGGAGGCCAAGGACTTCATGCTCCGGACAGAGAAACGGCACTGGGACTAGGGATTGCCACTTCCGAGAGGATGCTGGGAATCTGCAGAGGGAGACGGAAATTCCTGGCTGCCTCGTTGAGTCTTCTCTGCATTCCAGCCATCACCTGGATTTACTTGTTTGCTGGGAGCTTCGAAGGTAAGAATGGAAGCCAGAGTGACCGGGAAGAAGGGAAAAAAGGGAACACTGGCTGTTACCGAATCCTAGAAAAGGATCTCGAAGTCATCTAATTCCAACTTTTTATTTTGTAGATCAATAGTATACTGATTCCTAGTTACAGGAAATGACTTGTCTAGGGTCACCCAGGACGTTAGAGGTGGTCAGCAATGTGAGGAGAAAAAGGGAAAAACAAGAGCAAAATAACCGCAACAATGTCAAATGTGTGAATAAATGAATGAATAGATGGACCAATGAATGAAACATTCGACTCCACGAATAGATGGACCAATGAATGAAACATTTGGCTCCACGAATAGCTCCACCATGCCTTGCTGCAACGGCATGGTGGTAGGTACACATATGTCAGTTACTCATTTGTCAGATTGATTACTGTGTCTATAATGGGGAAGAGGTTGGGCCCTGGAGACATAATCTAGCTATTCGTGGAGCTGAATGTTTCATTCATTCATTTATTCACACATTTGACATTGTTGCGGTTGTTGTTATGTTGGATGTCTACACTAAACCTGGTGCTGAGAATATGGAGATAAGAGAACTGGGCATTCCTAGTATAGTAGAGGAGACAAACAGGCTAACAAATGATGGCTGTGCCTTGTGCTGAGTGCTGTGATGGAAGCGGGTGGGATGCTGTGGGAGAGGTTCTTTGGAGCTGTCAGGCCTGGGCTGGGGATGAAAGATGGTTGGTTATACTGATGGGCCGAGCACAAGGATGCAACAAAGGACTTGCTCTCCCCAAACAAATAAAAACAAATGATGATCCCTGCCACTTTCCAGAAATAAGTAGAAAAGACAAGACTCGCCATATTTCCAGCCAGCCATTTCAAATACAGTGAGATGTTTTACGTATCAAAGTTGGTTTTCTGAGCTTCAGAGAGGGAGAGAATGGCAGTGTTGAAAAACTTGCTTTCTTTTTATTCCCCCACACTTGAAAAAAAAAAAAAAGATCTCTAATGAAAATCTGTCTCAAGGAGGTCACTCCTGTGTTTTTAAACATTTCCTTTATGCAGAATTTTATTGACAGCTCAAGGCTACCCTTTAATTAGGAACTCCACTTCACTTTCTGAGGTTTGCCTTGAGTTAGCCTGACTGAATATAAACAGGATGTAACTATGTGCCTGCATGGGGGTGAGGAGGGGGGAGTGAGGCAGGGCGCATGATCTCAGCCCAGGCCTGGGGCCACACCCCTGCCCCTGTACCTGCCCTTAGCTACATCCCTGGAGTAGTCAGAGCCTCTAAGCAGCTAGATAGAGTCAGTTATGCCATGGCAGTAGACGGTTAGTTTTTGGCGGAGGGACTTGAGAGAGGAATGTGATGTGAGAGTGAGTTGATGTGAATCATAGAAGCGATGTCAGGAAGCTTCTCCGAGAGATGATGGAAGAAGGCAGAGACACTTGATGCCAGTATAGGTTTAATAAGTGAAAACATGGGCTTTTTACAGGGTAACCAAACTGGTAATGATAATAGTACAGTAGTGACAGTGGCGACAGTGATGATGATGACAATATAAACAACTAGTGTTCTGAGCATTTTGACATGCTAGGCATTGTTGTAAGGACTTTCCATATATTAACTCTTTCTTCACAATGATCCTGTGTGGTAAGTACAGTTAATATACCTATTTTACGGAGGAGAGGGGTGAGGTAGATTAGCTTCAATGATCTGCCTAAGACCCCCAAAGTCAGTCAAAATGGAGCCCGGATTAGACTTAAAAGCTTGAGTTTTTGACTATGATATACACCATACTATAGAATGGGGCGTCAATGAGCTATTAAGCTTTGGCAAAGGGATTTGACAAGGTGTCACATGAACTTTTCGGGTGTTCGGGTGAGGGAAGTTGCAGAATTCTGATCTGTGCGCATTGGCAGAAAGCCAACCCAAACTGATTTTGGCTAAAAGGAAGTTTGGTAGTTAATATAATTAGTAAATTCAGAGATAGGGCAGGCATCAGGCAGGTTTTGATCCAGAGCTTTGTAACTAAGTCTGTCTCTATCCCTTTGTTCTGATTTTCACTGTTTTGGCTTCTCTTGGGGTGGCTTTGTCTACATAGAGGTACTTTGAGACTTACATCCTATTCCTGTGCTCACCAGTCCTGGTAGAAAGTGAACTTCTTCCTTTCCCTAATTCCCTAGTATTGCCTCTGATTGCATTTCCCGCAGCAGCTTCTCCTGAAATCAGTCACTATGGGTGGGGGATGGTTCCTGGTGGGAGAAGCTAGTACTTTTATGTTAGCCCTGAGCCTTGTGTTTGTTTCTGGTCTCAGGGTGATGGGGAGTTAGATGCCTGGAACACATGGAGTGAGACTGAGGGAGAGGTGACCCCCAGAGGCAAGTGGTGTGTTTTCCAAAGGAAAGAGACTAGAAATTGATTTGAGTCATGGAGAACTTATAACTGGCTGCTCTGAGGGCTTGATGTCCATTTGAAGGCCATGTAGGTGCTTCATACTACTCAAACCTTGGCCAATGGTATGACTGATCATTGACTTTAAGCTATTTCACCACACTGGCAGAAAGATTATGGGAAACTGAACATACTCTGAGGAAACATGACAAATTGGGTGTAGGTGCTGTATCTATCAACATGATACTTCAGAATAAACTCTGCTCTTTGGACCAAGTCATAGGCTGCTTTGAGTAGGGGCTGGGTGATGAGGTCATGTTAATGTAATATTTTAAGTAGATGATGAAGGTGACAGACTTCTTTCACTGTGTACAACTGGGCTGCTGCATTTATTTGTGAACTCTACACTGTACAAATGATCTAGACAAGTCAGCACACTTAGGAAAACCTAGGTGGATGACAGTGCCCATTCAAACCCAGTTAGGAAAAATAGTGGGAATATTCGGGATGTCTACCTTGGAGAAGCAGAAACTCAGAATGTACATGACAGCTTCAGCAAACAGTCAAAGGACTGTTCCCTGAAAGAGGGATTAGGATTGCTCTGATGGCCCATGATTCTATGGAAGGATGTGGCAAAGAGGCAGATGTCAGACTCCTCATAGTGAGGGTCATTCTGTCCACAGTTGGAATGAGCTGCCCGGGAGGTGGTGAAGTACTTGGCACAAGAGATGTACAAACAGAAGTCCAGTATCGTGGGAGGAAACTGAGGCTCAGAAACACTTGAATAAGATGACCTCTCTGATCTTGCCTGACCCAGGTGTCCTGAAACTCTAGCAAAGGCTGAGTATTTACCAGCAGACAGGCTGTGCCTCCATGAAGCTCCCTGCCACTTGCTGCAGACATCGGTACATTTCCCAAAGGGCCTGCGGAGACATTCTTTTTCTCTGTAATTAAACATCACAACAATGTTATAATCCATTTATTGACACCCTTGAGTTTTTGGTTTCATGGCAGGTGAAGCCATAAATAAGGGACAGAGTTGCTGCCTGTGTTCATGGAAATACTATTTATACTTTATGTGGGTTTATTTATTTTTCAACCCTGTTTAATTTCGATAGATCTCCTGAGAGCAGAGCCAAGAACTCCCTCTGAGATGCGGATGCTCTCAGCATAAGGTTTTGGAGTTAGATTACAAGCAGCAGCACGACATACTGAGAGCACTGAAGGGGGACAGATGTTTTAGGCTCTAAAATCAGCTCAGCAAGAGTAGCTGGGTGATTTGGGGCACAATCTGGGTGATTTGGGGGCACATTCACTCCTCTTTCTAGGCTTTGGTCTCCTCCAACGTGAAATGAAGTTGTCGAAATGAAGCCCACATTTGGGGGCACTGACTTTCTTCCTACAGGTTTATGATTTTAAGCATCTGATGTAAGTGAATTGGCAGTGACTAGCGTCTTCCTCCATTAAGAGGAAACTGTGACAGGAAGAGGGAGTAGGGTAATTGTGATTAGCTCCTAAGTAGGGAATCAGGATCAGTGCATAAAAGATGGGGAGGCAGGCGTTGTCTCCATGTAGGAAAGAATGTCTATTCCAACAAACTGATCGTCAGGCATGGAGTTCACCATCTGGGAAAGAGATGAGATACCTGTTCCTAGAGCTGTTAGTCAAGGACCCAGTGACCACAGGTAAAGGATGTCATCAGAGATGTTTCTGTTGGTGCTTTAACTCCCGAGTTCCTAAAACCAGCATCTTACTTCATGTCTCTCCAATATACCTTTCTTCTACCATCTCAGATCTCAGCCAGTGTTCCCAGATCTGTGCCATTCAAGCTTGGAGTAGTTGGGAGTAGATGTTCCTTCCTTCTCCTTTGTTCCCTCCATGACTTGGATGCTGCATCCTGTTAAATGTGAGCTCGGTCTTACAGCTGAGTCTGTTGTTTCCTGTTCTTCACTACTGCTGACCTCCTCTGCCATGGCTCTGCCATTCCTCTTTTGTGATCAGGACTAAATGCAACAGCCTGCTCTCTCACATGTCTCCTTCGTTCTCCAGAGAGTAACTAGAGCTAAATCACAGTGCCTCTGCCCTTTGTTAACTCCTGTGGCCCACCTCCTAATCCCCCTTCCTCATTCCACCTCTTGACATTGAGGCAGAACAGGGGCCCCTCTTAGGGACTTGCAGAGTCCCCCCAGACATTAAAAATTAAAAAAAAAAAAAAAAAAAAAAAAAAAAGAAATCTCAAGTTCCTTCGAAATTCTTCAGAATTCAAAATTTCAGGTACCTACCTAACCCTAAAAGGTAAATAAGCAATGTAATAAGCATAAATAATAATAATAATTTAAAAAGTAACTTAAAACAATAACCAAAAAAATTAGAGTCATAGGATGTTTGGTTCCCTATAAAAACTGAAGACAACCTCTTAACATATGACCCTGATTTATTTTTTAAGAACTCAGACCCCACCAAGCAGATCCATTGGCACATAGACTTCAGATTAAAAACAAAAAACAGCCCTAAGGACAAAACTCCACCACTGTTCTTTATTCTAAAAATCTTCCTGAGGGGCCTGGAAAGAGTCATGAGCCAGAGTTAACATTCTTTTCTGCTGGCCCCAACATTTTATT